AAAAAGGACACAAGGTCAGAAAGGGGTGGAGGTAGGTCTTGGAGGAGTTGAGAGGGATTGAGAGGTGGATATAGAGCCGGGCGTGGTCAGAGGAAGAAGCAGATAGATCTCTGCGAGTTCAAGGCCAGCCTGTTCTACCTAGTAGTTCCAGGCCAGCAGGGGCTACAGGCAATCCCTGTTTCAAAAAGACTGAAAAAAGAGAGAGGTGAATATGGTCAAAATGTCTTATATATATTATGAAATAAATTTTTAAATGAAAGGCATACTTTTTGTAATCTTTGTGATGAGTGAGATAACAAGTGAGATAACAAGCAAAAGAGCAAGGCTCAAGGAAGCGGCCTTCCTGCAGCACTGTCCTTTAGGTTCTGATTTTATTTAAATAAGGATTCTGAAGGCATTTGTATTTTATAAATGTGTAACAAATCATTAAGTAAATGTGAAAATATGACAATTGCCTTAATTAAATATTTAAGCCAGGCATGTTGGTACATCTCAGTACTTGGGGGTGGAGGGTAAGAAAGAAGTTCAAGGCCACTACAGATACATAGCAAGTTTGAAACCACCCTGGGCTACATAAGATCCTGTCTCAAAAACAAAGCAGAAAAGCAAAATTAATGGCCATGTCCCTACTGACGTAGAAGAAATGACAGAAATCAATGCATTAATTTGCTCGTTGAGGGCTGGGGATGTCGCTCCGTTGGTAGAGTTCTTGCCTAGCATGTACAAAGCTCTGGGTTCTAGCACAAGTACCACATAAAAACTGAGCAGGGTGGATCAGACCTATAATCCCAGCACTAGGGAAGTGGAGGCAGATCAGAAACAGTTACCCTCAGGTACAAGGACAGCCTGGGCTATGAAACTTTTTTTTTAAAAAAGAGAAAGGGGCCAGGTGTGGTGGCACATTCCTTTAATCCCAGCACTTGGGAGGTAGAGGCAGGCGGATCTCTGTGAGTTGGAGGCCAGCCTGGTCTACATAGTGAGTTCCAGACCAGCTGGGGCAACAGGGAGAGCCTGTTTCAAAAAATAATAATAAAAAAGTAAAATTTAAAAAAAAGCAAAGAAAAGAGAATCATTCATTTAACAGACATTAATGATCATGACTTACAAAACATATAGAAAATGGACAAATACCTGTTTCTTCATGAAATACAACACATAAAATTTTAAACTACAAGTAAACTACTACAGAAGACATCTCACCTTGTCTGCCTGGGGGACCACCAAATAGTTTGAAGATGGAAATAAAAGATGACAGAGATATAAAAGAGACAATAGTGGGGCTGCAGAGGCGGCCCAGCAGTTAAGAGCACTGGTGCTCTTGCAGAGGACCTGGGTCCAATTCCTAGCACCCACATGGTGACTAACAATTGTCTGTAACTTCAGTTCCAGATCTGACTGACACCTTCTTCTGACCTCCCCGGGCATTGTACGACACAGGTGCACTTACACACATGTAGGCAATATACTCATACACATAAGAGATGATGGTAGAAGAGTCGATTCTTGTCAGGTGTGGTGGCACACGCCTTCAGTCCTAGCACTTGGGAGGCAGAGGCAGGTGGATCTCTGTGACTTCAAGGCCAGCCTGGTCTCCACAGTGAATCCAGGCCAGCTGTGACTACAGGGAGACCCTATCTCAAAATGACCGAAAAAAAAAAAAAAAAAAAGTCAATTCTTGTTGAATCTGGTGGTATAGCAGGTATGACTGGGGTCATTCAGGAGGCTGAGGCAGGAGGTCGCATTCTTAAGGCCTGCCTTGGCTTACTTAGTAAGACCACATTTCAAAATAAAAAAAAAACAGTGAAAAAGGCCTAAAGATTTGGTTCAATGACAGAGTTTTGTGAAGCCCTCACTAGGCTCAATTCCCAGTACAGAAACTGAAAACAAAACCAAAGCAAAACAAAACAGCCCAATATATTTTTTCCTACAGCTTCTTCATGTTAACTGGCAAACAGCCAGAATTTGGCTACCAAAAGAAAATGCAAGTCCTGACTGACTCTTATTCCTCTATAATGTTCACAAGATCACAGACATAATAAATGTTGAGCAATCTGGATGCTAAACAAGCACAGCTGGATTTCAGTACGCATTTAATGTGTGCACTTTATTAGGATATTTTCAGCATGGAGATACATGATTTTAGTTTGTTCAGTTACTCTAACACACACATTAAAAATGATAGTCAAAGGAACACTTGACTCACTATAAAAGGAGTCTGTACCGAGTAGTACTTTGGCAAATTAGAAAATAAATGTACACAAGAGAACTTCACTAGAAATTAAGTTAGGACACATCCTGGTGCTGACTTCTGCACTAGAATCCAATGTCAAATAAGTCACTCTTAGAGGTAGAAAACATCTAAGATCTCACAACTCAGAATCTGTTAACACCATCTAACAACCAATGGGAGCTGCCAGAGAACTAACTGGTCTCATTCCAGGTGCCAAAAGCAGGAGTCAGTCAACAAAATTTGGTTTATTTACCTTGTAAAGGCATGGCTTATTATTTCTGCTTAGGTCATTCATTCGTATGTGGGAATCTAAGAAATTCAATGAAATGCAACCCGTTCTAAATCTGATGGCACTGTGTTTTACAGACACAGGTATACAGGGAACACTGACCAGCTGAAAGGAAATACAAACATTTGTTTACACTTGTTTAATTCTAAACTTTAACTCCTCGGGTCCCATCCTGAAGAGTTTTCTTACTGTTATATTACCATGAGATTAATTCTATGTCCATTCTTAGAAAGGCAACTAATAAGCCGGGGCGGGGGGGTGTGTGTGCACACCTTTAGTCCTAGTACTCAGAAGGCAGAGGCAGGTGGATCTCTGTGAGTTCAAGACCAGCCTGGTCTACAAAGGGAGTTCCAGGCCACCTGGGACTATATAGAGACTCTGTCTCAAAAAGACTGAAAAAAAAAAAAAAGTAACTAATAATCAAATTTCACTTTAAATATCTATATTTTAAGGATTTGTGCCACTACCTCTTTAAAGTAATTTTTATTTATTTATTTTTATTATTTTTTGGTCTTCCTGTAGTCCCAGCTGGCCTGGAACTCGGTATGTAGACCAGGCTGTCCTCAGTCTCACAGAGATCTGCCTCCTGAGTGCTAGGATTAAAAGCATGTGCTACCACACCCAGCTGTTATTACTTTTTTAAAAGATAGGGACTCCCTGTAGTCACAGCTGGCCTGGATTCACTATGGAGACCAGGCTGGCCTTGAACTCACAGAGATCCACCTGCCTCTAACTCAGCACTGGGACCAAAGACATGCACCAACACGCCCAGCTAAAAGCAATGTTTTATAAAGCTGGCATATGGGGAAAGCGTATTATTAATAAATTCAAAGAATCAAATGATTCCCTTCCCCAAAGGGAGCTTTTCTATTCATAAAAATGGAGGTCTCTGAAGCACTGAAGAAACACAAAGAATTGTAACAAAGGAACAGTTGACAGGGAGTGGAACTACATTTACTTTTGAATCTATATAAGATACTTAAGAACTTATACCTGGAAAATGTCACAAGTATTTTAAGAATATTTCACCAAATAATATGTAGCAACACAGAAGTGACCTATATACTGTATAAATGAAAGGCAACCATAAACACAATTGATATGCTTTATGAATACACCATGCCTATACAAATTAACAATTAAATTCACACTAAAAAGTGTTTAAGAACACTCCATTTTTTTTCACTATTGTATAATAACAGAGGTATGTTACATACTTATCATTAAGGACTATATAATATATTCTTTTAACCATATTTTAATATTGTGACTTGGAAATGATAGACAGCAGTACTTTTTTCTCATATTAAACTGGTAGTTTAGTTCAGGTTTCATCTTAATATGTCAGGGAGAAAGCCCGCAGGAAAAGGTGAAGCCCAGCCTCCATGGACATCAGTAATTTTTGTGCTTAATCAAGGTTGACTGGATTCAAGTCTTAAATTTCTTCAAGGTAACATCAGGCATAGGGAACACATGCCTATAATCCCAGCACACAGAAGGCTAAGGCAATAAAATTTCCAAATTTGAGGCCTGTCTGTCTCAAAATCAAAGACAAAATCAAAGACAAACCTCACTACCACCACCCAAAATTTTCCAGGTGAAACGGGGCCAAGTGCACCTAAGACCATCATCTAAATTCCTCTGTCAAACCTGGAACTCATCTCAATTTGTCAATGACCCCTAAATCTTCAAGCTTCACAGGCTCACACTCTAGTTTGAAAGTAAAAGAGAAAGCAATAGAAATATGAAGAATCCAAAACAAAAGCGAAACCATCTTCAGAATGTCATTTCAGGCTTTAGGATTCTGCTGTTCATGCTATTTGGAAATCTTCCACACTCTTGAATGTCATTTCCATAATTCTGCTGCAACACTTGACTCAGAAAGCAGGAAAGCTTCCCAGTTTTGCTAGTTTTTCCCTGGCTCCTTATGACAGTTTGCGGCAGGCAAGATTCTTCCCTGTATTGCTGTCCTCTGAGATGAGGTCCTGCTATGTAGCTCATGATAGCCCTAAACTCATGTTCCTCTGCTTCAGCCTCCCACATTCTGTAACTGCACATATAGGCCAACACACTTGGCTAACATTTTTCCTCTTTTAATTCAGTTCGACGGGGAGGAAAAAAAAATCCTCAAAATTATATATTTAGCAATTTTTCCCCCAATGGTCAAGTTCTGATTGGTACAGGCAGGTAAAAGTCAAAATGTATTTTCTTCCATTTCCCAAAAATAAGATGTGAACATTTATTTGAGACCTTCTTCCTTCTAATAAACATTTAAACAAAGCTTAAAAAAAATGTCAGACCTGAAAACTGAGACTCGCCGACATATATATCAACTTTTTCTTTTGTTTCTACCACAAAAGCCATGGCATTCTTGACATTCCCTATTCCCATATTCAAATTACCACACAGCTCTGTTCTTGGGTTGTCCACCTAAATTATATACCATAAAACATCTTTTATAGCCATTGCTGTTATTTTTTATTTATTTATTTATTTTTTTTTTTTTTTGAGACAAGCTCAGGCTACCCTGGAACTATTTAGCACAGGGTGAACTCAAACTGGCAATCCTGAGTCTCTTGCCTCATCTCCCAAATCCAGAGATTACAGGTACAGACCACCACACCTGATTCCCAAGCTAGTGTTAATCCTTTTCTTTATCTGCCAACAACTACTGCTCAACCACAGGAAAACCACTCATTCTGTAGAGTGTCCTTAGGATAAATATATCAATAATTTAGGGCTACTTGATGAAGGAGCTCTACAAGTTTATTGCCTTTAATTTTATAGTACTCTAAAATATACATATATACACTCACCACACATATACCAAATTTACAATCTGCAAAAATAAACATAGGTTAATTCCAAAACACATTTAGGGATTCACAGTTTAACAGTAAACTTGCATGCAAGTAAAAAGAAACATAACTTTACATTTCTAAATTACATAGCAAGTTGATGTATGTTTTAATGTGCTTCTTAAAAAGAGATTTATTCTTTCTCATAAATCTTAGCACTGAGGAGAATGGAATCAGAATCCTCAGGCTATGACCACAGCAATATTAGTCAATGTGATATTATCTTTACTAACAAATTACCCACCTTGCTTAATGTATACACAAAAAGTGATATAAAGAAACTTATACAAAATATTCAACACTATCAGCATTTACAGCATTTTGACCAAAGACTCTTAGTCTATACATTCTTCTCTGGATGTTAAAGAATAGTCACAGCTTTATAACATACTTAAACAGGAATGAATGGGAAGGGGGCTGATAACAGTTTACATATATATGAAAGCCATTTATAAATATACAGAAATTTAGCCATGTCTTAACTGAATGTGTTCCTTTTACAGAATTAAATTTACAAGTAAGGGGTCCAGAGTACAAGACACAGTAACAGAGAAACCAGTTTTCATTTTTACTCCTTGGTATAGTTATTAAAAATAAACACTTGTGGGTATTTCTCCCTTGGAACCCCTCCGCACTCTTGGGAGGTCTCACTTTGCTGTGCTTTAAAAAATAATAATAAAAAATAAAAATAAAAACCATTTGAGAGTGGGGACCACATAGTCCCAACTGCTCAGGAAGCTGAAGTAGGAAGATTGCTTGAATCCAGGACTTCAAGGCTAGCCTGGGCAACAGTGATATCATGTTCCAAACAAAGAGAAAGAAAAAAAAGAAACACTTGGAAATAACACATTGCCTAGCTATCTAAATTGAGAAAAACTTGAAGAACTTGTTCAACTAAAGAACAAAAATATTCAAAAGAACTAGAGCTGCCTAGTAGTCTTCAAACTTAAAAGAAGTTCCAGATTCACAAAACAAAAACACAGCCCCACCCCCTGAAATTTGGCACTCACCAAGCATACCAATAGCGCTTCCCCTTCACCCACTCAGCTCAAAGATTTATAATGGCTTCATTAAGTGTGCTTATACTGAGCATGTACCACTGAGCATAATGATGATAAGGGTTTATGAAAAAGCTACTGCGCAGAGCTTAATATGCATACACTGTATATGGATCTGGCAGGTCACAGGGACACACGGGCACAGGTGGCCCTTGTGTTTTATCAGTTTCTTGATCTGCCCAGTGACACCCTGTCGCATAGGAACTCCAGGCCAGCCTGGCAATCAGGCCCATCGGCCACTGGAGGCAAGGCTTCTGCTGAATGAGAAGTTGATCTCAGAGTTCTTGTATTTTCCCCAGGCACCAAAAGGCACTACTACTGCAGTGCTGTTGTCTTCAGCTCCGTAGTGGATTGCCTGTAGGGTTTGCCAGGAAGAAGAGAAAAGCATTGGAATTCATTGAATTTCTGTACAAACAAGTCTTCCTTTCTAGGGAAAGCCAAACAGATTTTACACAGTTAACAAGTGCAATTTCCTCACAAGGTTTGTGATTCTTTCACCCTGTATCAATGTCCCATAAGGTTCTTAAACTGCACGTGAATAACAGGTGCCCAAACCAGCACATCTATATTCTACTGCAGCAATCTTAGGACTGGGAACAGCAGTGAACTAAGGTAAGATCCACGTACAAGCCTTAGCATGGTGCTTCAAAACACCATGAAGCCTTAGGAACGGTTAATTCTTCCTAACATTCTGCTTCTAGGAATTTAGCCTAAGAAATTAAATATCTTGAGGGGGGTATGAATAAAACAAAGTATAATGACAAAAAACAAAGTACAATGACATATAAGTATGAAAATCCTGTAAGAAACTTTTTGCATGCTAACTGAAAATTTTAAAAATCTTGGAAATGGATGTGCAGAAAGTTACGATCACAGAAATGTTTATGATGCCCTTACATAATGGATAAGCCAAACTGACCACAGCAGAATTGTAAACCCTAGAAGAACTAGTTCAACTGAGTGTTGTCGTCAGTATTGTTACGTGTTTGGTGTTGTACTTGGCATCAAACAGATCAAAAGGTCTCACAGCCTGAGACCAACATTATAAAGGAACGAGCTGATAAAAATATCTAGTATGAATCTCTTCAACAAATGAAAAGGTTTACAAACAAGTTGTAAGAGAAAACCTTATTAAAAAGTACCTAGTACTATTATACTTAATATATAGTTCTTAAAGTAACCATGGAAAAACCCAAATGTGGTGATAAATAGGCAAAAGGGAAAAATCACAAACAAGAAATACAAAAGATTTAAACAAAACAAAACAAAACAAAACCCTTATGTCTAGGCCAGGTGTGGCAGTGCACTCCTTTGATCCCAGCACTCAGGAGTCAGAGGCAGGGAGGGGCAGGGAGGGGCAGGAGATCTCTATGAGTTGGAGGCTAGTCTGGTCTATACAATGAGTGCCAGGCCAGCCAGAGCTACATAGAGAGACTCTGTCTCAAAAAACCAAAACCAACACCAAAAAAATAAAAAAACCCCAAACAAAACAAAACCCACCTTACGCCAGTGTCAGTAGTTAACTCCACTGAAAATAATAAAGATGCAGAGTTCAACAGTAAAAATCTCTTTTTTTCTGGAGGTTTTGTGTCCAGCTCAGTGGTAGAGTGCTTGCCTAACTTTCAAGAGGCCCTGTGTTCAATCTCCAGCACTGCAAAATACATTTATTTTTTCCAACCATCAAGTTGCCCCAAAATATCACCTATAGCAAGAATTTGGAGAGACAGAAACTATAAAAGTCCAAATTGTAAATGAGCATAGTATTTCTAAGGACCAATTTGAGAAAGATGTTTTATCATTTTTTTTCTTTTCCTTTTATTTGGGTGGGGGTGGAAGGGGGTGGGGGGGGGGAAGATGAGTTCTCACTAAGTTACCCAGGCTAGTATTGAACTCTTGTGCCCAAGTAATCAAGGGGGTGGGGTGGGGGAAGATGAGTTCTCACTAAGTTACCCAGGCTAGTATTGAACTCTTGTGCCCAAGTAATCCTCCTGTCTCAGCCTCCAGAGTAGTTGGGACTTCAAAATTTAACCTTACAAGGATGGGTGAGATGGCTCAGTGAATAATGCTGCCTATTAAACCTGATGACCTGAGTTCAATCCCTGGGACCCACACGGTGGAGAGAACTGATTCCTGCATATTGTCCCCTGATCTCCACAGGTATGCCATGGTGTTGCATAGGACTGTCTTCCACCAGGCAGACCACGGACACATGCCTTCATCCCAAGCTTGGTTGTACCCCTTTGCCTAAGATCCTTACAGCCATGCTTGTTGACTGTCACTCTCCATGAGAAAAGAGGGGCAGAGTCAGCCACACCTCCCAACCAACCAGTCAGCCCGCTTGCATGAGGGGGGGGAAGGGCTAACTTTATAAAGTGTGGGGAGGGGCTGTTCTCTCACCATTTTTGGACTATGGGGAAATTACAATCCATGCCTGAATGGAGACTTTCGAGTGCAGCCTTAGAAGGGGAGCACCCACACTCCTGTAAATAATTCCTCACCCACTGCTCTGTAAGTAAGCCCAGTAAATTCACTGGTTTCTCAGACTGCAGTTTGGTGAAATTGGACCTCAGTTTGTCACAGGGACCAAAGGAAGAGGGGGCAGGACGTACGTACCTCCCAGAAGGAATTTTAGCTACACTGGCATAAACATACGTGGCGCCCCCGCCCGCGACACACAGCCACATCCACACCCAAAATGAAATATAAATAAAAAATTTAAAAATAATTTAACCTAGCTGGGTGGCACACACCTTCAATCCCAGCACTGAGGAGGCAGAGGCAGATGGATCTCTGAGTTTGAGGACATCCTGGTTTATATATGAAGTTCCAGGCCAGCCAGGGCCACATAGTGAGATCCTGACTCAAAACAAAGCAAAGAATTTAATCCAACAAAAGATATATAGATGCAAAAAAAAAAAAAAAAAATGGTCATCTTCTTCCTATATTTAAAATGGAAGACTAATCATAAATTTCCTCATTAAAGGAATTGTTAAATGAATTATGGGTCACAAATAAGACAGAATGTTATATGGTCATCATAAATGTTACTGCCCATGTGAACTGGAATACATATATCTACAAGATGGGTAACTGAGTTTTATTTAGCTGGGTGTGGTGGCACACATCTTTAATCTCAGCACCGAGAGGAAGAGGCAGGTGGAGCACTGAGTTAGAGGTCAGCTTGGTCTACATAGTTGAGCTTCAGGCCAGCTGGGATACAGGGAGCCTGTGACTCAAAAGGACCAAAAATTATTTACTCATGGAACTGGGCCCATTTCCTCAATCTCATAGGTATCCTGTTCCGCACTGGTTGAGGTAGGCAGCACAGTTGGCAAGTGAACAAATTATGCATTATGACAATGTTTACCCATCTAATTTTAATCAAACGATATATATATATATATATATATATATATATGGAATTGTGACCGAATAAATCATTTTTAAAGGAAGAAATGCTGAGGGATTAAAGCCACAACAGCTGACCTGGAACTCTATGTAGACCAGGATGACCTCTATCTCACAAAGATTCACCTACCTGTGCCTCCTGCCTGGCTTAAATGATATATTTTTTAAATATTTTATCTATTTTTATTTTATGTGTATGAGTGTTTTGCCTGCATGTATGTAAATGCACCACAAGTGTGCAATGCCCACAGGGGCCAGAAGGGGTTTCAAATCCCTTTCTAATGGCTGTCAGCCATCATTTAGGTACTTGGAATTGAACCTGGGTCCTCTGGACAAATATTAAACATTCTAAACCACTGAGCCTTCTCTCCAGCCCCGCAAATAATATTTTTTAAAGTAAGGTCCACCAAGCATGGTGCATACCTGTAATCCCAGAACTTGAGAAGTGGCAACAAAGAGGACCAGGAATTCAAGGCAGCCTCACCTTCCAAACAATGTGAGACCAGACTGGGCTACGTTAGAAATGTCTCAAAAAACCAAAACACCAGAAAAGAAAAGAAAAGAAAAGAAAAGAAAAGAAAAGAAAAGA